CAGAGGGGAGAAGAGATATGGGGCTGTTGGTGATCTAATATACACATAAAACAGTTCCTGGTATGCGTAAAGAGAAAATTGAGCCTTGAAGACACTGAACTAATAGCAGAAATTAGGGAGAAAAAATAAAGAGAAAAGTACATGTCTTTTATCCAATTAAATTTAATTCAGGAATAGGTATAACCTATTGTAAACGAGTTGAAACTGCATTTTTATGCCTTCTTTCTTGCCTTTGTCAAAAGCATCACATAGAGAATGAGCGCTCTTTGACTTAGTGTATGCCATCGTTAAAAGCATCAGATGCAAATTCTTTAATGAGAATATGAAGAAGCTGCTGCAGCAACAGAGTAAAAATGCATGAGCCCTGGTTATTGGTGTCTTTTCTGATTTATGCAGGTTAGTTGGAACCAACTGCAAATGTCTCATCTCCTTTTGGGTCAAGAACCAGTAGGGGAGAAAAGCCAGGGATTATTATGTGACTCTGCCCTCTGGGAAAATGTTTTTATCAAGCTTCCAGATAATGCAGTTACTTCTATAAACCAAAACCGTGAAGTCTTTGCAGCAGTGCTGGAGTTCTAAATTTGAAGTACTATTCATGCTGCATTCATCCACTTACAGGGTTAATCCACTTGCCTATGTTTTATATTCTTTTAAAAAGAAACAATATTTTGCATTAACTACTTGTATTTAAAAGCATATAGAAGTAATAGAATACAATAAAATAAGTAACTGTAATCAATTATCAAAGTATGTTTCATTTCACAGCTTTTAAGTATCTAACAGATGGGCATTTTTCCACATTTGACAAATATTTGAAGGGGCTATTTCAGTTATTCTTTGACTAGTATTTTTATAATAGCCTAAAGCTAATTTTAACTTATTTGGGGTTGTCTTAGATTTCTGATTTGCCCTTGTCATGGTTTAACCCCAGCCAGCAACTAAGCTCGCTCACTCCCCCCCAGGGGGATGGGGGAGAGAATCGGAAGAGTAAAAGTGAGAAAACTCATGGGTTGAGATGAAGACAGTTTAATAGGTAAAGCAAAAGCTGTGCACACAAGCAAAGCAAAACAAGGAATTCGCAGGTGTGCAGCCATCTTCAGGAAAGCAGGGCTCCATCATGCGTAATGGTTACTTGGGAAGACAAACACCATCACTCCAAATGTTGCCCCCTTCTTTCTTTTTCCCCCAGCTTTATACACTGAGCATGATGTCACATGGTGTGGAATATCCCTTTGGTCAGTTGGGGTCAGCTGTCCCGGCTGTGTCCCCTCCCAGCTTCCTGTGCACCCCCAGCCTACTCAGTGGTGGGGTGGTGTGAGAGGCCGACAAGGCCTTGACTCTGTGTAAGCACTGCTCAGCAATAATGAAAACATCCCTGTGTTATCAGCACTGTTTCCAGCACAAATCCAAAACATAGCCCATACTAGCTACTAGGATGAAAATTAACTCTATCCCAGCCAAAACCAGGATAGCTGTAAAGTTTCTTTAAGGTAGTGAGGAAGTGTGACTCTTGTGGAGGAGTGTATCATTGCATCAAAACTTGGCATCCACCTGGGCTAAGAAAACTATGTTTGTTCTCTAGGGAAATGCTTCTAGAAGGTAACTGGTTTTTATGTAGCGTACCCTCCTAAATTAAGTTTTTTAGTTTAGCTTGGCCTGAGACAAAACGTTTCAGGATATTTTAGGAGATCCTGGTAATCTAATTAATCTTATGAAAATAATACTAAAATTCGTTCTTTATTTCCCTATCCATAAAGTATATGGTGTTCCCTCCCTTTCATAGCTCCATCCCTGCACTATCAGTGGCAACTGTCAACTGCATCATTAAGGGGGACAGAGACTGGCTCGCTGCCGTTCCAAGGGGTGGTGGGAACTGGTGTCTTGTTCCACCAGAGGCAGAGCAGGTGGCCCTCCTTGTGGAGGAGTCTGCCAAGACCTGAGGACTTTTTGTGAAGAAGAGGTGAATTCGGTCGACACCAGCAAGCATTTGCTTCGTGTCACAGCGGCTAAGGCCATGATTCAGTAGTTGTCTTCAAAACATGTCAAGGCAAAACCAAGGAACGGGGGTTTGCAGTCATTGGGGCTCTATGTGGGAAGGGTCTCAACACAACAGCCTTTTGGTTCATGGGGAAGGGGAGTGAGTAACTGAACTCCAGCTTAGAAGAAGGACTTCCCAATCTCCTGCTCAGGGAGGGAAAGCACTGGCAGCTACAGCAGACTGTCACTAATCTAAATACTTTGGGTTAACATCACTGGTCAGATGGTTGAAAGTTGATGTTACTGTGGAGTGCTCCCTTGTGTAATATATATTCTGCAGACAGTCTGGAGGTTTTTTCTTCTGAAAGTGGAAATACCGCCACAGCTGTAATAAAAGTTCTTCAGAACTGCATAAGTAAAGCACTGTATTCTTCCTACCTTGCAGATGTATGTTATTTTTATATACCTCTTGTTTTTCTTTAATTCCTATTAAGTGTTTGTGTTGATGAGTAATTAGAACCAGGACTGGAATGCCATCCTTTTGAATAAGCCATTATTTTGTTTAGATTTTTTTTCTCCTAAAATCCATTCATGTTTCAAGGTACTGGAAGGCAAAATATTTTTATGGCCATTTTTGCAGAACATATCTCTGAATGAATGAGGAAGTAGTAATTTTAGTTAGCACTATATAAAAAAAAAAGTGAAGGCAGTGCAATGAGCTTAGTATTCCATTTTTATCTGTCATAGATGTAACTAATTCAAACATACAAGCATGGGAAGAAGTTGGCAGTTTGAAACTGTGACTGCATGAGTCTCGTAGGATAATGTTAAAATTTCCTGTGTGCTTCGATTTGACATTCTTTAGAAAAGGGTTGTTTTCGCTGAAGTATAACCAATTAAAAGTTAATGCTGTTTTTCACTGGGCACCCATGCTACACTAGAATGTTCACGTATTTCATGTGTATGCTTATGTAATTAAGCATCCACTAATTTCTTTCTCTTTGGGAAATATTTCTGCAAATGAAGTCAATAAATGAAGAGTTAAGATCATATCATCTGTTGTTTAAGGTAAGCATAAGGGCAGACATTATTATTTTAAATTCTTAATCCCTTGTTCTGTGAAGTATTGATGTTTTCATTGGAGTTAAAATATGTTGCATGTTTACAGAAAGTCTGAAATCTCAATATGTGGTCCTATCAATTTTAATTATTTGAATCATTAGAACCTCTAATTTTTTGCTTAATGGTACACAAATGTACCATTGAATCTGTTTTTTAAGGTTTTTTCCAGTTTAATGTCTGAATCCAAATTCATAAAGAGTTGGAAAAATGAGATGTCTGAGCTATAGGATTCACAGGGATTTTATATGAAGCCTATTTAATCAGGATAACACTGTTATTAATATTCATAAAGTCAGCTGGAACACAAATGACAGACTATGGAGCCTAAAATTTTTTACTTGTGAATTTATTAAAAGCAGCTTAAAAAATTAATGGAATTTAAGTAAAGTTGGCGAAAATGAAAATCTTATGTTAGCAGAAAAAATCTTTATTAGAACTTTCTCTAAGACCATCTTGCATTGATATCTCTGATAGATTTCATTGGTACTTAAAGAAGAAAGATGCATGAATGGTCATTTAAAAGGATTTAAACACATTGGCACATTAATTTTTACATGAATAATAAGTAGTTTCCAAAAGCAATTAACTTACAGTGTACAAGATTTGAATAGAAAAATAGGACTGTGACATCAAAGGGCAAAGCAAATGTGCTGTACATTTTAAACTTTTCATAATACGACTTCTTAAAATGATTTATTTCCTTTCCACAATAGGTAAAGTAACAGTGAAGGTATTTGTGTACAGCTTGGGTTTGTTTTGAAATACAAGAGATCTGGAACAAAGAAATATTTTGATGCCAAAGTGCTATTGGTAAAGAACAGTTTCAGGCTTTTACAGTGATCAGGTGCTTTTGAATTGAGCTTTTTTACAGTCAATTTCTGTGTGTGGAAAATAGTCATATACTGACCACAGTGTATGATTTTTTGCCCATGCTGCTATATGCAGCACTGGGAAGCATTTGTTATTTCTGCAGAAGTAACCTTTCTAGAAATAGGTAGATCTGGGATTTCTTTCATTAGTAGGAAGATGCTGGTTAATTTATATTCATATCTGTTAGTTAGTTTTTTACTTAAATATTCAGTGTGAATTTTACGTGACTATTGCATATTATAGTCAACAGATTGGGACAATTTTTTTTTTAGCTTTCTATGCATGCTGTTCAAGTAGTAGTCTTAACACTAACGCAGATTGAATAAATAGGTAGTGAGTAAGGAAATTAGTATTTAAAATTAACTCCAGATTTTGGGTTACAGTTTCATTTTGCATTTTCCCTTTTGTCTCGGTCTGCCAGTATACTTTATTTTAATCTCCAGCTTTAATTTCTTTTGATTAATAATTTGACAGATTGATTATTAACAGATTGTCTTCAAATGAAAGTAAAGAACAGCTTTTTAATAATTGTATTTAATTTTTCTGATGATTCCTTCTGGGAAAATCTTCATGGCCGGCTTCTGATTATTGTTGATGCGGCGAAGTTTAACACTGTTTGAATAATGATGATTCAATAAGTTTTGGTTCTAAAAATACCTTATGTTCAAAGTACCTACTGTAAAGGTACATCTTGAATGTTATGTAAGTGTTGTGCATAAGTTAGATACCTGTTGCAGCGTTTGTGTTCAGAACAACTGATTTACATACTTAGTGTATGGAATATTTTGTCGTTCTATTTACTAACATTTTTATTTCTAGTAATAGGGAAAGTATACTGCAAACCCTAGGGAGCCCCAAAAGGTCTTTCTGTTTGACTTTGATCGATAGGTTGCCTTAATCTGATATCAACAATATTTTTATTTTCTGTATGTGTAAACCAGAAAATTCCTATTAATTAGCAGGACATATTTCACCTATGAAGACAAAGTCTGTAAAATGAGCCTCTTGACTTCTGTCTCCAGTTATTCCCAGCTATAGTCTATTATTTCCAGGAGAGGGCAGCATTTTCCTATATCAGGTACACGAAAGCACATGCCCTGCTTAGACTGTCAATGTTTCTTGTAATTACTCCCAGTATATTTGTTGCTTGCTTATGAATTAACTTGCATTTATGGAACTAAATCATTCCAATCATTTAATTACACCTGAGGAGCTGAACTATAATTGCTTGCTTCCAACTAGGATCTGATATGGCTTGAGCAGTATTAATTTGGTGTTTACTTTTCTGAGTGCTAAAAGCATTAAAATGATTGTGCAATGGGATTACATTTTACTAATTGCTGGCATTCATTAGCTGGGTAAATGGCGAGGAAGAATGACTGTATATTGTGGAGGGATAAAATTATGGTTTTAAATAGTATATTACTAGGCGCATTAAGGCCCTAAGACATGTTTTAAAATACTCCAGAGGTTATTAAATACCGTATTTTCTTCATGTCTTGCTATATGAATATCTTATTAAAATACTGCAATTATTATGAACCTTTTTGTGCAATATGTAGGGAAATGGCTTCATTGACAGAAACCTATTTCTTGATATTAATAACCTTCTATATTTTCAGCTAATCCAAAAGTAAATGAGGAACTTAGGAAAAGATTGCCAACTCCAAATCAACACAGTTACACAGAATTGAAAAAGAAGCGTACAGCTTCATTTGAGGGACTCCTGTAAGGAACTCAGTGTTCTGCGATATGAGGTGAAGTTGTTATTTTTTGTTAAGACCTAAGCACATCAAATCATACACATTTTTTTTTCTCGTGCACATTTATAGTTAACAACAAATATGAGCTAAATATGTATTTCTTGAATGCTTAATGTAAGTGTTAGTGTTGAGTCTTAAGTGTTTGCACAATTATTTTACTTTTTTATAATCTCAAAAATAAAAATGAAAACATCTGCCTTTTTGCTGTTGTGTAGGAAAAGAATGTCTTCTGCTGCTTTATTAGTTAGAACATATGTCTTGGTATAATATGCTCGAATTTTAAAATGTGTACTTAATTTTTTTTTTTTTAACTCTTACATTTATCAGTACAATGACAACTCTCTGGGTATTTTCATGATCCAGCCACTGCCTCTTCAAGGCTTATGTTGTATCTTTTTAATAAATGTAGAAAAAACATAGGAGAGAAAACATACAAAATAAGCACAACTACATAGTTAAAGATGAAAAACTGTCCTTTGTACAACACATTTTAAAAGAGGTGCTTGAGTGAATAATAAAATTTGTGGTAAGCTTACTATATTAGCAAGATTACGAATTTATTTAGATTTCCTTGAGATATAGAATATAGTTGAATTTTTAACATATAAGAGAGCATATATTTTAATACTCAGAATGTTAGCTGATAAGCATAACATTTTACTGTAGGTCTTATTTTTGAGTATTGAGGGTTGTTTCTTGAAGATCTTTGATTATATGAAATACTGCAACTGTGTAATTAACTGTAGAGTCTGAGGCAATATGTATGCAAATATTAGGATGGATTATGTAGCTGTTTAGAAAAGCGTGCAAATTCAGGGTTGGAGTGGTCATGGGCCACTTTACCTGTATTTTATCCAGGAAATTTAAGCAGGAGAAAGAATGTTGTAAAGTGAAGCACATACCACCATCCGTAATAATTACCAAAGTGAGCAGTCTCATTGCCTCTAGCGGGACCACTGAGCGTGATTTGGGCTGTGCTCAGTAGCATGTACTTCCAAGACCAGACTCTAGAACAAGAAGAGAAACTAATAAATTTTTCAACATGCAATAGAAAGCTGAACCAAACCATTATAAAAATTAGATGTGTGAAGAAAAAATATTTTACTGAGAAATATAATTTAGCACTGACTGTTAAAGTACACAGGCTTTATTGTCCTGTTATAAATATTTTTGTATCATTTGTCTTGTAAATTTTCTGTCAAATGACGGCAAAGTATAGGTGTGTTATATTGTTTCAAGTTTATTTATCTAGAGTTTGCTTTATTTTAGTTCTAAAATTGTCAAGGGAAAACTGGACTCAGTGCCAGATCAAACAAGTTCAGAAGAACAAATGGAGAACTGGTCAAAAGGTAAGGACTTTTAAGATATTAATAAGGAACCTCAGGTGTTGTACCAGTGCTAGGCAGTGACTGGAATGTATTTGTTCTTGCCGATATATGACTGACTTTGGAAGAAAAAAAAAACCCACAGCCACACACTGCCTCTTAAAAATATTTGGGGTAACAGGAGAGCAGCTACAGGAATGTAAATCATCAGCTTTATTTTTATTTTCTGGGTTATTGAAAATGTTTATGTATAACTTTGAGAAGTCTTATTTAAATTCTTAGTCTGTACATTGCACTTTACTTTCCAACCTTTTTTCCTTAATGGGTTAACAACAAATCTGAAGTTTGTCTTAAAGTAACTTTCTTGGCTATTCACGCCTGGCTAGAGTATGATTAAGCCATCTACTAATATTAACGAGTTTCTAATTATTACCTCAACCGAATATAGACAGTAAGGTAGGCTTGGAGGTAGAGGGAGCCTTGGTTAATTTGGAACTTCCATGGTTCATGGAGTTTTCATCTTCATCAGGATGGAAGGATCTTTTTGTATTTGGATGACCAAAATTTTGCTCTCGGATACATTCTTCTATGTTTCATAGCATAAACTTAAAAAAAAAAAAAAAAGAAAGAAAGAAAGGAAAAAAAGAAGCACTGAGTTTGAGAGCACATAACTGACTGACTGACTTTACAGCAGAGAATTGTCGGAAAGTGGCTTGTGACTAGATAATAATGTGTAGATTGAAGAAAGGGAAAGACACCGGAAGCAGACCTTCAGTACATCATAAAAGGGTGGATTTTTTTCCAGTGGCTATGTGTAGATTAAAAAAAAAAATGGAATAGGTGTGTCAACTTCAAAGATGCCTCCTGTATCAGAGCCTGATAGCATCTTGTGTATTTCCTTTTTTTGAATTTTATACTATGTATTCTTTCTCAAAAGATAATAAATGTCAAGTTTCTCATGAGGGGTCTGGTGTTTAGAAGAAAGAAGAAATACTCCGTCTTGGAGATGATGCATTTCTTACATATGTAAAGGAATTTCTATCTATATTATTGTGTAAAATAAACTACTTGTAGATCCCTTTTAATTCATGGAATTTTGAGCTATTACTGAGTGAAGTTAAAAATGGTTTTGAATCATATACTCTGAAAACAAAAATAGTCATGGTGGAGTAACTTAGTGGAGAATTGTATTCTGACAACTTATACTTTAAATATGTAATGGCTTAATGAGATTTAGTATTTTTAGACCTTTAGGGGTCAGCATACCCTAAGAATGGTTCAAAAGGTTAACCTTTCCAAAGTAGACAAGTGGATACCATAAACCGATTCTCTGTGAAGTATTTTCTGTCTAATTGCAAGAAATGGCGTTCTGCTGCTGCTCACAGGTACTTTAAAAACTGGGTAGTTACTGAGTTTCATGTGCATTATTTTTCTGACGCATTAAGTTAATATTTTGTGCTGTTTAGAAAGCTATTTCTTCCAAGCTAACACTTAACGTATTTGTGTATCCAATAGAAGTTGTTATATAGACAAAAGTAAAATTGATAGACTTTTTTTAGATCAATCATTAATAAGTCACGTAATTCTTTATGCTTTTTCTCCTAGGGAAGTTAAAAAAAGGGATTATGGGTAAATCTTATGTCATCATACTAGTTTGGATGAGGAATTTTTTTTTCTTAGAATTTTATTTAGGTATTAACAATTAAATTATGTTTTGGTTATTAACAATTAAATTACATTTTCGTATCATAAAGATAATAGATAAATTACAGCAACATAATGTTCAATATGTACCCTTGGTAGACATTCTGGTGCATTTTCTCATTGAACTACTTAAAGCAACTTTTAATCTTCTGTTTAAATGTCTGTGTTGACGTGTGCACCATTTTGTGTTCCACTTGCTTTGTCATCTGTGATATCTTTCCTTTTTGCGGCTGGTACTGTACTGTATCTAGTTGTTCCTTGCTTGTAACTTGGAAGTTTAAAATCTGTTTTTAGGATAACCCTTTAATGTTTTATTCAAATATTATTTTTTTAATAACATACCAAAATATTGGAGATTAAATTATTTGTCAAAAAACAAGGATGGTAAAGCACATCTGAGATTAAATTCAGCTGACTAGATGAAAATTCAGTCAAGCAATGAGAATTTTAAAAAAACAGCAAAAATGTTAGGTGCAGAGAAGTAGTAGGTTTATGGCGGGGGGGGGGGGGGGGGGGTGGGTAACCTGTTAATAGATGTTATAAAATAAAATACTTGAAAGAAAGGTAGGGTTTAAGAAGAGTATTTCTGAAGTGTTTGATAGTTGAGATTTTCTTTTTAACTTTCCGTGTCGTTTGGAATATAACATGCCTGTCTGGATTGAAGACATTTGTCTGTCTCTGTTCTGGTATATCAGGAAGAGTTAAAGGTCTATGTGCAAGGCTTATTATTTTGGGTATCTAATTTAAATGTACTGTTTATCTCTACAGCACCTAGTTTTTAACAGGAGGATAGTGACTTTTTTAATGTCTCTCTAAGAATACTTGAGAGAATGTATCAGACCAGGCAGCAGACCAGTGAAGACTGTGTAATTTCCAAATGAAAAATATTCAGGATCCAAGCTAGAAAGCCTACGATGGTAGTCCATTATAAAAATAAATTTATATTGGCAAATAGGTGCATGTCTTTGAATTGCAGTGACGGGGGTGGGAGGGAAGCACACTGCACCTGTGTAGAGTTGTTACTTTAGCAGGGTTTACATGCATGATGAAAACTGCCCAAAGACTAATACTGTGAAAACACAAGACGGAACCTTAAATTGGGTGCTTTTCATACTTACATATACATTCAGGACTTGATATGTCAATTTTCCAAAGAGTTAGCAGGATAGGAAAGTGGTGAGTGTGCAAACAGTGGAGTTAAATTTGTGTCTCATTTGACTCGTATCATACTGTGTTTGAATGGGTGCAGCTATACTTGTTCTGTATTATATAGTCTTTCACTGTTGATGTTTTTGCTTGTGTCATATTTCTGAGCATCTACGATTTTTAAGGACAGGGCAGAAATTAGGCGAAGTCTTAGAATATCAGGTACTGTTTGGTCTGTTTTGACAACAAAATTATAATTTTGCTGACTCCAAAATGAAAATCATTGTGTAATTATTGTTTGGAATTCCCTAAAACAAGGTAATAGGTTGATTATTTTAATAGCAAAGTGCTTTGCTTCCTTAAAAGGTGGTTATTATATTTTTCAAGCATAGTAACAAATATATTTCTAAAACACTATTTAAAGCACATACTGAAATGTAAGTCAATGAACCAATTTCACCTGTAAGAATTTGATGTCAACTCTTAGTTATGATCCATATAGACACTTTCACTGTAACTTGTTATCCTTCAAAAGAATGTTTGTGCTGCTTGTAAATACTTCAGAATTGCATGTCTGGAAACTGTAGTTCAGAGGAGACTCTAGCTTTAAAGAAATGTGATAATGTAGATTGGAACAGAACTGCAGAATAAGCTTGTGCAGGGAAATTTGAAAAGTAAGTGTTTTATCTGGCGGTGAGCTGTTGTTTTCCAGTCTTGCTCCCTTCAGGAAGAATAGAAGAGAAAACAGATATGCAAACCTAATGAACAAGTTATGTATATACAGCTGCTCAGACACAAGTGCATGTGATAAGCTTACGTGTAGACAATTGTCTTAATTGCATTGTGTGTTTGTGCATGCATTGGTCTTGCATGAATGTATGGTGCTTACTGTCAAGAATCTGGCCACAGCTTTCCTTGTATTGTCATGGTCATGACATGTATATGCCAGTGTATTGCTTACAAAACTGTTTTTTAGTTCTTTTGCTGTGTCGTGAATAATATTCGGGAAATAAAACCTCTCTAGAAATATTTTTGCATTTATTTACTCCCATTTATAAATTCCATTGTCAGCCATCCCTTTTGCATTCATGGTAATTGAGGCAATGTACAGTCATGCATAGGTTAAGTAAAATGAATCATCTTTTTTTGCTAACTTCCTAGAAATGAAACTCCTGTTCCTCACCATGTATTTGTAGACTATCTTATTAGAAGTAGTAAGTTTTTCTAGTTGTGTAATGATTTTAATGTACTTTTTTGTGGGTTTGGTTTTGTAATAGTAATTACAAGGACTTTTTGTCTGGAATTACTATTGTGTGACTTTAACACACACACTAACACACATATACACACACAAAGATGAAGGGGTAAAGAAAGCTGTGAGAGTAATGTGGTGGTGTAAAGATTTTTCATCTGGCACTAGTTGTGTCAAAAAGCAACTAATTGTGAAGGTGCTGCTTCCCCTTTCTCCAGAATACATCCATTACAGCTATAAACACTCTAAAGGAAATCTGAAGCCCTTCTTCGAAGGCTGTAGTAGAGGCAGAATAAACCATACTTTTCATATCGAAGTCTGTTTCTTTTACATGCCTCAACAGGAGATACTGTGAGACTGTTCTTCCTCTCCTTCCCTCTTTTAGCAATAAGGAATGCTGTTTACCTGGGAAAGAAAGAAGACCTGGATATTGCATGGGTGTGTATGCAGAAGAATCTACGTGATATGCAGAGAGGCAGAGTCCTCTTCACGCACGTGGCTCAATTGATTAGTGTCTTCCATGTGTGCTGTGCTTTCAGCATCGAACTTGCTGTGTGCTAGCTGTCAGAGATCCCTTTGCAAAGTGGCAAGGGTAGTTACAGGTTTCTCTGCACAGTATAGGAGGCAGAAGAGAGGTTGAGAGAATGATCTTGCATGAGTCAACCATAGGAAGAGTGGCTAGTAACTGAGCAACACTAAGTATGGAAAATGAAGAAAACATCTTGCATGGAAAAAGAGGGAATAGTGTGCCGTGACTAAAAAGATGAAAAGGAGCTAATGAAAACTGAAAAATCATCAAATACTGTCTGGTCTTTCATGTAAATATAATCACTCTTTCATGTGTATAAATTCTCATGTCTCCTTTTTCCATCCCATTTCTTTCCTTGTACATTTTGAATGGTTAAATACAATGCATTTCTGG